GCGCGTCCTGCAGGCTGTCGACCATGGACAGCATGAGGCTCAGCTTCGACCTCGTCACCTCCAGCTCCCGCTGCAGAAGAGTCTTCTCGTCTGCGTCTTCCTCCTCCCCCCCAGCCTCCGCTGCCTCCTGCTCCTCCTCCGCTGCTCCTGCTCCTGCTGTTGCTGCTGCCGGCCTGCCAGACGCTTCTTCGAGCTGCTCCCTCTCAAGGGTATGCCATGACCTGGCCTCCAGGTTTCCATCTAAAGATCTGCCCTCTCCCTCTTCTGCTCCAGCAGCAGCCTGCTCCTGCCTCTCATCCGCCTCCGCCTCCTCCTCCTCCCGCCCGAAGTCTTCGGCGTCCTCCCGTGGATCCTCCCGGGGCTGGGGAAGCAGCACCCTGGTGGGGCTCATCATGTTGAACGTGCCGTCTTGGACGACTACGATCATTCCGAAGAAGTCAGACGGGATCGTGACCTTTCTGTTAGGTATCTTGACCTCCCACCTGTACTCCTTACCCGACCTCACCACGTACTTGTACTCGTAGGCCACCAGGTCCCCAGGGAGCATCAGCTCCACCTCCCCCCTCCACTCCTTCCTGTCTCCCTCGCTGCTCAGCTCCAGCCCGCGATCAGGATCCCAGCTCCCTAGCTTCCCATGGTTGCCCACTACCAGCACCTCCTCTCCCTCCCTCAGCCCCAGCACGTCAACTTTGAACCGGAGGATGGTGGAGGAAGCCTCTGTGGAGCTTCCCTCCCTCCTGCTCGAGGGCCTCCTGGCAGGCTGCTGCAAGCTCTCTCGCTCCTCGCTCCTCGCCCTCAGGCTCGAGCTATGCTGGAGCTCGCTGTCATACGACTCGGCAGAGTCAAACCTGGCCGCCGCTCTCCTGCCCTCCTTGCTCCTATGATCCTGCAGCTTTCCCATCTGTTTGGCCTCCTTCATGAGCTGGTTGTGCCACTTCAGCTGGACCTGAGGGTCAAGAGGAGCCGAGGGCTCGGTGGAGGGAGAGTGCCAGGCGTCTCGCAGCGAGATCGAAGGCCTTATCCCCTCATACACAATGCTTGCCCGCTGCTTCCCATCGGACTCCGTCGGGTCCTCATCTCGGAAGGATGGGAGCCTATGGGTCATCGAGGCTTCTGCATGCTCCGCCTGCTCTCTCTCGTCGACATCCAACCAGCCCGATGAGTTCGCTGGATGAGGCAACGAGGCGGATCCCCCACGGAGACGAGACGACAGCCTGGCGCCTGAAGGAGACAAGGACGATGACGGTATCCGAGCTTGTGAGACTGAAGTCGAATCATAGAAGCTAGCAAGGACTGTGCTAATGCAGAGAAACAGAAGAGACACTGATGAAGAACGCTTGGAATGTACCATGCTCCAAATCTTCGCTCTACACCCCCCGGACAAAGATGCAGGTTGCAACAACACAATGACGCTTGGGTTCTTTTCTTGACCACATCCGAACTTCTTCAAACCAGCGGACGTTGAGGAGACCTGGACACTTCAAGGATCAGAACTCACGCCAAGCTCAAACATGTCTCCCATCTGGTGGATCACCAGCAAACATCCTACACCTCCTTGGAGGGACATGCCACGGGGAGTCACCCAGGAAGGAGCACAGCATATGACAATGCGGAAGGGAAGGATTCTAAGAGCCTGCTCTCTCTGCTGTCCATCTCTCGCCTCCTCTACCTGCACCTTCCCTCCCCTGCATCCCCGTCCCCCTCTCTCTTGCCCTGCCCCGCCCCCGGCCGGCATGGGCACTTAAAGGAGGAGGACCGAGGGGGGACGAGGGTATTTTTTGAACAATGTTTTATTTTATAAGTATTTGTAAAATCAGTATCGATAACATTTAAAATATTTATATATTTCCGCACAAAGTGGGTGTTGATGTATTATCAATAATATTTATAAAAAGGTCAGCCTATATCAAAATATTAGTTGAAAATGCTCTATTAATTTATATTCATATATATATATATATATGATAACGCACCAGACTACCCCGGAGCTCTGCTTTCACTACCCCCACCCATATGATGTCAAACTTCCTTCCTACCTGCACACCCCACCCCCTCGACACCCCTCCTACCCCCCTGTTGGCATCCCACTACACCGCCGTTGATTTTTGAGTACCCCTATCTACCTATTATAAAGTACCCACCCTTTGGAGGTTGTCAACTGCGGTCAACACTACCCACCCCACTAAATCTGAGACACTACCCCCTTTCACCCTTCCCGTCTGACCACACCATGCTCTGGGTTTAAGAGGGACCCACCCAACTAAGATAGGCTATCTCCGGGTTGAAAGTGAGGTGGGGTAGAGAGGTAAGCAGGGGTACATATCCCACTAGAAAAGAGGGTAGCAATGATTGGCAAGGGTAGGGTGATATTGAACCTAGCATGGTGCCTCCAAAGGGGGGGTATTTTTTTACGTATGAAAAGGGGGGTTACTTTTGCTCAATGAATAGGTGGGGGTACTTCAAAGAGGGGTAGGGGTAAGTGCAAATGTTCAGGTGGGGGGTAGGTACATCTTCAAAGTGAGCGGGAGCATGTAGAGAAATGGCGCATGCGGAAGGGGGCGGAGAGGGAGTGAGGGAGGGAGAGGAAGATGAGATGAGATGGGATGGGATGGGATGAGATGAGATGAGATGAGATGAGATGAGATGAGATGAGATGAGATGAGATGAGATGAGATGAGATGAGATGAGGTTAGATGAGATGAGATGAGATGAGATGAGATGAGATGAGATGAGATGAGGTTAGATGAGATGAGATGAGATGAGATGAGATGAGGTTAGATGAGATGAGGTTAGATGAGATGAGGTTAGATGAGATGAGATGAGATGAGATGAGATGAGATGAGATGAGATGAGGTTAGATGAGATGAGATGAGATGAAAGTGGCAAAAATGAGGGTGATGAGAAGCGAGGTAAAGTAAGGTAATGAAATGTGTATTGAGTCAAGGTGGAGATTGGTGTGTGATCAATAATATCTATTTCGGTTCCTCCTATTCTGTTTCCTGACATTTGTCGGCAGGGGCAGCGCTTTGCCCCTTGATCAACACTTAACGCTGTGCTTCCACCATCTTCCCAATCACGTTGGAGGTTGCTGTTGCCCTTGTGGTGATAGTTCTCTCTGTCTTGTTCTCCCAGGTAATGCATGTGGAGCCGCTGTGAGATCTGCTTCGTTGACGCCCTCCATGCTTCTTGTCATCTTGCCCTGCCTTGTCGCTTTTATGTCGCCATCGTTGACATGCCTTGCCTGACGTTCGTCTCTCAGACTCGAAGTTGCTTGTTCAGGTTCCTGGGCATTCGACTTGGAGTACAGAGAGGTTCTTTCAAGACGGTGAGGAGGGGGCTCGCGATCGCTGCTGGGAGATGACTTTAGCTTTACCCAGGGTTTTTCACACAGCTGCCTGTTTGGAGAGAGCGAGGACGCCATGACGGCGGCTTCGAGCTCTCGACTGGCAAGGTGAGATGCACCACTGTATTCATCAACGAGTTCTCCGTCTCTTTGCTCATCATGACTGCACTTGGCATCGTCGCCACAGTCATCATCGACTAGATAGACATCTATCATAATCATCGTCGTTGTCGTCGTCTCTAAACCTCCATCATCATCATCTTCTCCATCTCTCATCATCATATTCTTCTTCTTCTCCGTCATCATCATCTTGCTCCTCTTCCGCTCTTCTGACCATTGCCCGATCGGCTGACTCCCTTGCTCAGGGTATTGGATGGTGCTGAAGAGGTTGCCGACGAGGACACAGTGATGGACGTTGAGGTGAGAAGAACGAGATCAGAGACGACGAGTTTCCTCCTCTTCTACTGTCGTGCTCTCCTCTTCACTGATGATTTTTGACTTGCACAACTTCAATGTGTCTACTGATGCAGTGTATGCACATTTCAGCACATGCGCTGGCATTCACTGATACGCTTGTCAACTTGGTCAGGCTCAGACAGAGGACGCGCCGCAGGGTTTCTGTGTGGACTGTAAGGACCAGAGGGCGAGAGTGAGGTGCGAGGAATGCGGCGATGAATACTGCAGAGTCTGCTTCAATGTACGTATCTTCCTCGCCACCAATAATCCTTCACTGAAAAGACTTGGCATGAATCCCTCAAGCAATTTCCTCCCTCCCTCCCTCCCTCCCTCATCCTTGCATCCTTCTTCCCCCTTTTCCTCTCTGCTCTCGAGCTCCGTCTAATCCTCGTGTGTCTTCCTGCCAACTTCTCGTCTCATTCCTTGCCTTCTCTGTAACATAACCCTCTTCGCTTCCTCCTCCTCCTCCTCCTCCTCCTCCCTCTCGATCTGGTCCTCTCCCCCGTCATCTGTTCCCCTGATGTCTTCTCCTCCAGATGCTACATCGGAAGGGCAAGAGATCGTCTCACGCGCCCATCAGCCTGACGCCCAACGACGAAGCCAGCAGCGACGAGCGGGAAGAAATGACCTCCGCCGACCAGCCCGTCCCTTCCGCCGTGTCCTCCGAGCCGAGGGTGGATGCAGGTGGGAGGAGGGGAAATTTGAGAAAAAATTGAGAGCTGGATGAATAGAGGGTGCAAGGGCTGGGGAAATAGCAAGAGGAGGAGCAGGAGGAGGGGGGCAGCAGCAGCAGCAGCAGCAGCAGCAGCAGCAGCAGCAGGGTCTTCTGTATATTGACTAGCAGTGTAGGAAACTACTTCATTGAGAGAGCCAAATATATCCCCATACGCCTGACGCTGGCGGAGAGAAAGAAGCTGCGGCTGGTGGAGGCAGCGCTCTCGGTAGGAAGAGGGGGCGGGGGGAGGGAGGAGGAGCGCTGAGGTAGGAGCAGGTGAGCGGCTATACGGACAAGGTGGACACGCCGGGAGTGAAGAAGGCGAAGAGAGTTCACATGCAGCTGCAAGACATCTGCTCGTTCCTCTCCTCTCTGCTGATTGCGACCGACTACACCGCGGGGAAGGAGCTCATGGACAGCAGAGAGTTCAAGGAGCATGAGGTGAGGAAGAGAAGCGGGGAGGAGGATGGGAGGGGAGAAGAGGGGGAGATGTGCAAAGGAGAAAGATGATGAAGAGGAGGGGATGACGATTCGACGAACGGGGGAAGGGGGGAGGGGGGA